AGTCAATGACCAAAATTACCACTTCTGAGGTCTTGGCAAAACCAGGGACTTTTCCTGAAAGCTCAGAAAGGGGAATGTTTCAGCATCACCACAGGCTCTTCCCAGCTGACATCAGGTCAACCGGCAGCACGCTCCAGAAGGTTCTTCCTTTGTAATTACCACTAATGACACAGTTGTTTTCCACATTAATTAGTATGCAGAGTACTGACAGCACCACGGCTCAGCTGATTTGACTCCCGCAGTTCACACGTGGCACGAGTCAGCTAGAACTCAACAACTAAATGGAACCTGCTGTCTGTAAAAGTGATTTTTCATCAGTCTGATCAGGTGACTCCTAGAGGCAGGGAAAGTTACCAAAGCCAGAGGCTAAACCTGTTTGTATGGCATGTAACCATTTCTTCAGGAAATCTCTGTCATCAGCTGCTCCCATCAAGCAGGCAGTGCACCGTGGGCCATCTCTGCAGTTCAGCTGGCATCCAAAGGGCTGGGGAAGGGACACTCGAGGCAGCTCCATCTGAAACAGTCCCAGCACTGTTCTGCAGAAATGTGATGCTGTTAGCATGAGACATACCTACAACCACTCTGAAAATCAAAGGGAAACAAAATCACTTCTGAAACTCCAGGAATCGTTCTCTATCATGTGCTGGCTACTCCAACACAGCACAACACGTGCTTTATGCAGCTACAGCCAGACGCAGCAGCTCTCCTAGATATGCCAGGTGATGTCAACACACCAACTGAGAAGCACACCATCATAATTCTTGTATTTTGCACCAGTGCTTTGGAAATTAACCAGCACCTCATGGACACAGCGTTCATCACTCTGTGTAACCCAGCAGGGATGAGTGCTGAATCTCACTAAGCCAAACCACGGTGCTGGCAGTCGTGGGGCAAGCCTGTCCATCTCCCAGCATTGCTCTTCACCCCTTGGAAAGGCCCAGTAAGGCCACTGGGCAGCATTAAGTCATGGCTTAGGAAGAGGATGAGTTGTTGGGTCTCGTTAGATGCACCCATACATCCTGGAATGCCAGAACTTGTAGCTTTGAATTCGTAACTCAGTTGAAGTTAAGCAAAACCACGTCCTCTTCCTTCTGGAACATCATCAGAGCTGTGGAATCTGCAGAAGGTAAGGCTGAAATTTACCAGCAGGCCAGTGGCAGCTAGAGAAATCCACAACAAAACTTGTAAGAAAAGGAGCGGTGCAGCAGCTCTCGCTTTTCTATGCTAGCAATTAATTTGTTGTGCGCATCCACGCCGATCCATTTTCAGAACACTAAAAATAAAGACACAGTGATGGCTCCTGCACACAGGGATGTGTGTGCGCCGCAGAACCGCCTCCTCCCAGGCCAGGAGCCCACGGAGCAGTTCCCTGCATCGCCCTGGGCACGCAGGAGGACTTCTGGAGGTATTCCAGCACGCACTGAGATCTCCCCCACCCAGTCATTAGATTACAGAGCTGGACGGCCTGCTTCAGAAAGCAAATGGTAATGTTCCTTAAAAATCTGGAGGATCGCAATAAAGTCACAGTCTGCACTCACACAGAAATCAGTTGTGTGGAAAGTTCAAATGATTGATATTACAACCTTCCAAATACGAGCCTGGGCGAGAGCTGTCTTGGGTTCTCCAAGAGCTCTGAGGTCTCCTCTCTGCTCTTCAGTCTCCCAAACAGCAGCAAAAAAACGCACAGTAAAATCATCTGTTGGAATTAAGCTGCCCAGAACAGCCTGGCCAAAGGAGCAGGCACAAATCGTGTCAGCATCACTTCACTGCTCCTCCACTGCTGAGGCCTGAGCAACAGGAGATATCCCTGAACTGCTGATCCTACACAAGAACATCAACAATCCCATTTCTGATTATCCTTTCCTACTGAAAGGCAGGCTGGGCGCCTCAATGGCAAATTTAGATGGAGTGTGAGAAACGGGCTGTAAGACACACTGCTTTCATCACCAGAACTAATGCCAGCTCACACAGCTGCAGTCTCCTTTTCAAAGTGGGCTTTCTAGATCTGAAGGAGAACATCTTTGCTCCAATCAGGTTCCACAGATCTCAGGGAAGTCAGATCTTGGAAGCCCCTGGAAGGAGACATCCAGGCTCAGATGAGTTATCCAAGTAATCTTCCAATCAAAAGCAGGTAACAGCTGCAGGGAAATTAAGTCCCTTCTGATCTTAAAACCTGGGCTGTTTATTAAGACCCTTAGAGGACAAGAAAATCCAAGATGGCACCAACCTCACCACAGTTCACAAACCAGATACCTCAATGCATGCAATTCAGAACTGACAAGCCACGGAGGTGACAGCTCTGGTAACCCAGAAATAAAACCCTGCCCCTTCAGAAATGTGACACGAAATTTATCACACCAGCACAATGTCACCCATTTGCCTCTCCTGTCTTGCTTGCCATTATTCCTTAGAGGACATGAGGAAAGATAGAAAGAGAAAATTAGTTCTGTCAGGAGAAAATGCAGGAAAAAAAACTGGAGTGGAAATAGTAAGGATACTGACATTTCATACAGCTGGGAGAAGTTACCTCCCCATTCCTTTCATCATTTTAGAGACACAGTTTCTTTCTCTACTACTCTATTACCATATTTTGGTGTCTGACCTCCCAATATTCCCACCAGAACTGTTTTAGGCATTGAAAAATGCCTGGAATCTCTTATACTACAGTGATTTTGTCACACCTCTGCAGAACTGTACTTTTTCAGATTCTTCCCCAATAATCCCCACTCACTTTGCTTCACCTTTTCTCAAACAAATGAATACCATGAACTGACACTTCAAAAGACTTAATTCCACTAAGTTTCAAGAAATATTCCTTGATCCAGTTTCCTCCAAATCTGCTAGAACCTACTGCCAAGTTTTACCACCCCTCTTCCTAAGAACCATTCTTTCCAACAGAACCCACTTCTCCTCAAACCATGAATCCATACTCCCTGCCACAACCACAACCTGCTCTCCATCAGCCACATGGGACTACCTGCTTTCTCCTCCAGCATCACTCATCACACTCTTCCACCCCACTCTTAACCCCAGCACAGCACATTACCTGCCTATCCAGTAATATCTCCTACATCCTTCCTGCTCTTGGTAACAGCAAAGGAAAGAACAACGTTGCCTCCCTCACTCCCAGGTGCAGACCCCAACCCCATTTCAGCTCCTCACAGGTGGCACCCCACAAAGCAGGCTCACCCACCCCATCTGCAGGGCGCTGAACTCTGCTGCTGCCCACACCCAGACCAGAAGGCAGTGAGGTTTCACCGACACCAAATAAATGGCAGAAATAACACCACCAGGTAACAGAGGAAAGGCAAAACTACAGAAATCTCGCCTAAGCCACGATGTATGGATCACTGCCTACCACTGGAGACCCAGGGTCTCTAGAGCAGTATCCATATGATAAACCCTCCTGTGCCAAGAGGCACCTGATCTGGAGGACTTCCAGCCAGCTATTCCACCTTTTTCTTGCTCCAAGTACAGACACAGTTCGTGTCTCCACAAAGGATATCTCACTGCTGATGTGCTCCACCCAGGCACAGCACTGTGCTACAAGAACCAGCCCATTACCCTAATTCTAGAGATAATAAAGGAGCCGATCAAGCACTCTTTGCTCCACACTTTCCTCTGCGTAGTCCTCTGAAATGGAGCCTCCCCTCTCCAAGCAGCTTTGCCCTTTCTCCAATATGCCAACATGAACATACAGGATGAGCGATTTCACTGTTCCTACATACGCTGCACCCAAATCCATGCCACTAGACTCACCTCCAACACCTAAGCTGACTGGCAACACAGCATGAACACCAGGTCTCTACAAGACCAAACATTCTGAGCAACTATTAGTTTTAATAAGAGAGCCTTCTGAGCAAAAACTGCAACACTACCTGAAGGAAGCATCACTGCTGTCTCCAAGTACCCAGAGAAGCCCTCAAAGCCTCTACAAAGACATGGCACCAGCCATCTTCAGCAGATGCCAAGTTTCAAAGACCACACAACCAACTTCCCAGTGCCAGCATAGCCTCCTCTGGTGCAAAGACACCAGCACAGTGCAAAAGCCTGCCCTGCAACACAGACTCAGGTCCCATAAACACAGCCTGCAAAAGGGATGTGATACCATTTATGAGCCTCAGCATATATCAACCACTGCTGCCAGCAGAAAACATATCAGTGACTTAGTGTTTATAATCCAAACTTTATTGGTTGTACCCAAAGCCCTTAGTATGAAAGAATAACCTAACAAATAGCACACATTAGGTTTCATAATCTTATCTGCCCTTTCGTTTACAAAGCATATTTTACCAACAGTCACACAGCCTGTTGCCCCAAGGCGCACCGAACTAAATTACAGCAAGGGCGAGACTGACCACTGCTGCTCCGGGAGGAGGGGAGGCCCTGCAAACCGCCTGCTTTGCAGCCAGGGCGGCCCAGAGCCGAGCTCCCGCGCCTGGGGAAGCAGATGGAGGCCCCTCCTCGGCCCCTCGCGTTCCCCCGCTCACTTAAGCCAAGGAAAAGAAGGAAAGACGGAGCATTTTAGGTAACGACCACCTAAACCGACGAGAAGACGGGAGGGGGAGGGGGGGATGGGAGGGCCGGTCTCCCACAGAGCCCTGCCCACTCCGCGCGGGAGGCAGAGGGGGGGGGGAGGGGGGAAGGGGAAGCAAGGACCACGGGCCGGCCACAACCCAAACCGCCCCGGGCCCCGCTTTCCCCGGAGGCACGGAACCTCGCCGGGCAGCGGGGGCCGGCCCTGTCTCGCTCCTCCCGCAGGGCCGTACCCGCTCCCCACCCCCCCCTCCCGCCCTCGCTCCCCTCAGCGGCGCCCAGCCGAGTTCCCCCCGCGGCCCAGCTCTCCTCAGGGGCGATCCCAGCCCCTCGGCCCACACTACACCCGGAGCGGGGCGCGTAGCGCGAGGAGCCACGGCGGTTCCTATCCCCCGCCGTCCCATCCTCTCTGCCCGCCGCAGAGCCCCGGGAGAGGCGCCGGAGCTGCCGGGGCCCGCCGGTACCTGCCGCGGCCGCCCGCTCGCCGCCCGCCCGCCGGCCGCACACAGACAATATGGCGGAGGCACAAGGCTCGGCCGCCAGCCGCAGGGACCAGAGCGAGGCGCGCCGGAAGCGGAAACCCCACCACCCGCTGGCGCGCGACGTGCCGCGGGAAGGAGGGGAGGCGGGGAGGCTTTGCGCACGCGCGAAGGCGGGCGATGCGCCGCAAAGGATTGTGGGGGCTGTAGTTCGCAACCGGGAGGTAGGGAGATTGGGAGGGTTGAGGCCTGTTACGGTGCGGCTGGAAGGCGCGGGGAGGCCCGGGGAATCCTCGCTCCGAGCCCGGAACGTCCCGCGAGGTGCGGCGGGGCCTGGCTGCCATACATGAGCGGCCTCGGTGGGAGGCGGCCCGGAGGAGGGCCGTCCCTCCGCGGGTCTGTGCTCGGGGCCCGCCGCCAGGTGGCAACTGCGGCCCAGCGCGGCCTAGCGCGGCCCGGCCACCGGGAGCCGAGCGGTTCCGTGCGCTGCCCGGAGCTCTTTGTGTGCCCTCCGAGCCCGCGGTGCGACCCTGGCCCCCTCTGCTGTGTGGGAGCCCTGAGCCCCTCCAGGGCCCGCACACCACGGCTCGTCGGCTTTGATCCCCCGTCGTTCAGCCCCGAGCTGCACCGCTCCACCGGGGTTTGGCCAAAGGCCGACATCCAGTACCTCTGCTGCAGGCTGAGACCGGGAGGAGGAGGAAATGCATTGAGACCCATCTCGATCGCATCTACTGCCCGCTCTGCCACCACTCCATGCCTTCAAGTCCCCCAAGTAGGGCAGGAATGCACCGCCAACAGGGCAGGAGCGCACCCCAGCTCGCATCGCCCCATTTGGAGACACGTGGCTTCATGCTGATCACACCCCTGCTGCGGGGGCTGTGCTCTGGCCAAGTGCTGCGGCCCCCTGGGATCTGGGAGCCATCCCATAGGCGAGAGGGGCTCTCACTGAGCTGTGCCCACGGCCTCCTGTCCTTAGGAAACCATATGCTCCTGCCCGCAGCCCACGTGCCTGCACCCCTGCAGCCTCGTGCTGCACTCTGCTCTCCCTGCGTGGGAGTCTCACTCACGGGAGGAGCTGCTGGCGGCTGCTTGCCCAAATCCCACAGCCCCCCACCCCAGGTCACTCCCATTAGGTAAAGGAGCAGCTCGTCTTGGCGGGGGTATCTCCCTCTTGTGCTTTCCTTGTATTGTACGGGCCTGGGTCATCGAGGAAATCTTACAGGTCCTTCTGCTGCCGAGTGGTCACTGGGGAAGCCCGGCCCCCTTCCCCCCATTGTCAGCGGCCGGGCTGTATCCTCACTCTGAGCCCCGGCCCCTAAAAATAGCTCTTTGTCAGGCGATTGTTCCGACACCTTCACGGCGGCATTGACGTGGGCTGGAGCAGGACAGAGATGGGGTAGGTGGAGGGGAAGAGCTGGAGGTCCCCCCTGGGACCGCTCTGAGTATTTGCCACTGATAACAGCTCCTGTGGGGGGAAATGGGCTCCAGGCACGTGGCTCTGTGCCAGAGGCCTCCCTGCATGCTGCTGCCCACCCATCACCTCTCCCCCACCTGTCCCTGCTCCGTGTTCATCCTGGGTGCCCAGGCGACCCTGCTGCATGTGGGATAGAAGCCCTCCCAGGTCTCTATCTTGGACCCTGCAGCAAGGTGCTGGACCTGGTGTGAGGTCCAGCCTGACACCCCCAGACCGTTACCCCAGGGAACCCCATGTGTCCATTGCAACGTCGTCGCTGCAGGCAGGAGTCTGCCCTTTGGGGATTGAGTTGGGATGGAAGCCAGCCCAGATCCCACTGTGTTTTGGCCAAGCTAACCCAGCCCTACAGACCTGTCACTGTTGGGTAGGACAGAGTTTGCTCCATGATGGTGCTGCCATGAGCTGCTGGCCCTGCACCCTAGTCAGGGTGCCATACTGCGTGGAGGAGTCCCTTGCACCAGAAGGGGACCCTGCTCTGCTTGTCCTCCTTTGCCCCCTGCTACCTCGCTCCCTGTCAGCTGGAGGTGGCCGTGTCCCTGGAGACCTCTCCTGCCCAGCCACCCCAGCTGCAGAAGCAGTGTTTTATTTCCCATGAGCTCGAGCAGGTCTGGATTAAAATAAACTGCTGGCCCAGATCCCTTTTCTGGTGTCACGGGAGATGCTGTGCTTGCTGTGAGCGCTGCCTACAGCCCTGCTGAGCCCCGACCCTCAGGCCCTGCGTGGCAGCGGGGGCTTGCCCAGCTCTGAGACCTCTCCGTTTGCCCACTGCCACCATCCCCACGCCGAGCTGAGCCCTCTGGGACTGTAGGGCAGGGCACCGGGCCAGCCCCACTCTGATTACCCCCAGCGCTTTTTCCTTTTTCTCCCTTAATTTACTGAGTGCTAAATCCAAATATTACAACTTCCCCTCCACACCGCTGGTTACGCAGGCGGCCCCCGGCCGGGCATTGTCTTATTGTTTGCAGAGGGAAGCTCCAGCGGGAGATTAACCTGGCGTTCACCCCGCGCACAGCTTCACACCCTGTCCCTGCTGGGGGGGCTGCACCCCAGGGAGCACACAGTGCATAGAGGGTCGTTGGACTAGTGACTCTGCAGGGGCTGCTGCATGAGGGCAAGGGGCCTGGCTGCAAGAGCCCTGGGTGCTAGAGCAACACCTTTGCCTCCTTCCTTCCCCATAGAGCTGGCAGGGTGCCGGGGTCTGCATGGAGGCAGAGACTGCCCAGCACCCAACCCAGAGCGCTGTGGTGTGTGCACCTCATACCATCCCTTTCCGCCCCACAAATCCCAGTTTATATTGTGCCCGTCTGTCCCTGCTCCTTCCCTGCTGTTCTGTACCCACCAACACGTTGGGGCCACTTCCCACAGCTTCCCATTTGCCTCCGTGTCCCATGGGTGCTGAGTCTCGGGCTGAGGTTGGTACATCACACATGGGCAGTAACTGCAACAGGGACATTTACCACGGGCAGATGCCATTTAAGACACAGGAGCTTCACCTGGGCAGAGCCCAGGCTGCACCCACCGGTGCTGCCAAGTTGCAGAGATGAGGAGGGCTGGGTGCTGGGTGCCAGGCCTGAAGCCAGATCTGTTTGCATGGCTGTACGCATATGGGCATTAGAAGTGGCTCAACCCTGCTGCTGTGTGCAGGCACTGCTCGCTCACTGTGGGCTCTGCAGTGGCCCTGGTGCGAGCCCCAAGCTCACAGCCCTGTGGGCTGCAGCAGCTCCATCCCATCTGAGCCCCGCTCAGCTGCGGGTGCAGCCCCACTGCATTCCTACCCTGCTGGCCCAGCAAGGTTAAACTGCGGAGAGGCTGAAATATTTGGGAGGGGAATGGAGAAGGGAAAAAAATATATCTATAAAAAGAACGCTTAAAAACACAAGTTAGAGAAAAAAATACCAGGCGCGGAGTGCAGCTGCGGTTCTGGTTCCAGTTCCCAGGTGATGTCAGGCCTGGAGCGTCTCCAGCCCCGGCCCCTCGGAGACGGTCTTTGTGGGTTCAGCACTGAGTGTTTTTCCTTCCTGAGACTCGGGGACACCTTCCTGTCTCAGAGAAAGCAGCCAAAAGCCATTCCAAGGGTGTCCGCGCACAGGAAGGGGAGAGGATGGGAGGGGAGCGCGGGAGGCAGCGCGGCACGGCGCGGCACGGGGCCGGCAGCGTCCGCGGCTGACCGGCTCTGGTGGTCCCATGGTGCACACCCTGCATGGAGCAGAGGGACACCTGGCTCCCAGCAGCCCAGCTCCAGTGCCTCTGAGTCAACATTTCCCCCTAGCAGCGTTGGGAGGGTTTGGAATGCACTGAGACCTACGGGCTTGGCACTGGGACCCATGGGTTTGGCACAGGGACGTGCTAGGGTGCACAGCGCCCGCACTGGGATGTGCTGGGACCCACGACCCCAGAAGTGGGACGTGCTGAGATCTGCAGCTAAGCACTGGGACATGGTGGGATGTCCATCTTCTGTGCTGGGACATGCTTGGACCCATAGCCCCAGCATTAGGACACACTGGAGTGCACAGTTCCTGCATTGAGAGATATTGTGACACACAGGCACCCATGTTCTCGGCACTGGGACACGTTGGGACCCATGGTCTCAGCGCTAGGATGTACTGAGATGCACAGCTCCTGCACTGGGACACACTGGGACCTATGATCCCAGCAGTGGAATGTGAGGGGACACACTAGGAGTTGTGGCTCTGGCACTGGGACATGTTATGCTGCCCAGCTCCTGCACTGTGACCCACTGGGACTCCATCCTCAGTGTGGGGATATGGGAGATGCTGCAGGACTGTGTCCCAGCACCAGGACCACCGGCTCTGCTGGGGCTGGGGGTGCACGGGGGCTTCCCAGAGGCTGCTGGAGGACAATCCCCTTTCATCTGCGGGTCAAGCTGTTTGCAGAGTGAAGCCCCCACCCCCAGCCCCTGCCCCCCGATAAACCCAAGGGCAGGGATTCTGTGTCTGGGGATGTTTGGAGAATCTCACGGCTGTTTATTGGGGTCTGGGACACATTAGACACGCTGAGAACAAACCTCTCCCACCCACCCCGGTCCCTGCCTGGGACTCGCTCTCACAGCTGCGCTCTGCTGTCAGCTCCATAAATCAAACCCGAGGGAAAGGGGGGCTGGGGGCCAGCATGGCCTGGCCACATGGGGGCCAAGGGGTCCATGCCATCACCTCATCCCCAGGGTGGGCGAGAGGATGGCACCTGGGTCCCATGCTCCCTTTCTGCAATGGGATCTCTCCCTGGAGAACCCCGCAGCCCTAGGGGGGGGCACACCAACAGCCCCAGGCCGCCTCATCCACAGCTGTTTCAGCTCCATGGGATGCAGGAGCCCCTGGGAGCTGTGCGCCCCCGAGCCCGGCACCTTTCCCAGGCTCAGCTCCCTGCAGTAAGCAGGGGGGCTGGGCTGGGAACCCCCACGTCCCTGCTTGACCCTGCGTCTTCAGCCCTAGAGAGCGTGGCCGTGCACAGAGACAGTGGCAGCCATCATGGCAGCAGTGGGAGTCACAGTGGTCATAGCATCCCAGGCAGTGAAGAAGGTGCGGAAACAGAGATGAACCCCAGTGCACTGCATGCACACCCAAAGTGCCAGCAATGTGTCCCGTATGTCCCATACATCCCACGTGTCCCATGCATCCCATTGCACGGCT